CGTGGCTCGTAGCTTGAGTCAGCGGAAGGGAGTTGACTACTTTTAGACCTTCTCTCCCACCCCGAAGATGACCACTCTTCGGGTACTGCTGCACATAGCTACTCACCGTGACCACGAGCTACACTCTCTTGACTTTAGCACTGCTTTCTTGCAGGGCAGCCTGCACGAGGAGATCTGGCTGCGTTGCCCACCTGGTTTCACTAGGTCTTTTCCTCCTGGCACCCAATGGAGCCTTCGACGGCCAGTCTACGGTCTCCGCCAGGCACCGTGTGAGTGGCACGACACACTGAGGACTACACTTGCGGCTCTTGGGTTTGCTCCCTCTATTGCCAACCCGTCGCTGTTTCTACGCATCGACACTTCTCTGTCGCCGTTCTACATCCTCGTGTACGTCGACGACTTGGTCTTTGCCACAGCTGACACTGCTAGACTCGCCTACGTGAAGTCCGAGCTGCAGAAGAGACACACGTGCACAGACCTGGGTGAACTGCGCAGCTACCTTGGCTTGCAGATCACCCGGGACACAGCACGCTGCACCATCACCCTGACCCAGTCACACATGGTGCAGCAGGTCCTTCAGCGCTTTGGCTTCACATACTCCTCGCCTACGGCCACTCCTCTGCCTACTCGCCACTCGCTCTCAGCTCGCACTCGCTCTCAGCTCTAGGGATGAGTCCCTAGAGTCGAGTGGCCCGTACCCAGAGCTTGTTGGCTGCCTCATGTACCTGATGACCTGCACACGACCTGACCTTGCATACCCTCTTAGCATTCTCGCATACTATGTTGCTCCTGGGAGACAACGACCAGAGCACATGGCTGCAGCGATGAGGGTGTTGCGCTACTTGTGCAGTACGTCGGGCATGGGGCTAGTGCTTGGAGGGTGGAGTCCAGTGGTCCTCACTAGTCAGGCAGACGCTTCTTGGGCTGACGAACAGGCTACGCAGCGATCGTCACAGGGTTACACCTTCAGCCTTGGTTCGGCTCTGTTTCGTGGCGGGCTACTCGCTTGTCTTCGGTTCTCGGCTCCAGTTGTGAGGCTGAGATGTACGCAGGGGCCATGGCTGCACAGGAGCTTCGCTGGCTCACCTACCTACTGACCGACCTTGGAGAGCCGCCTCGTTCTCCTCCAACCCTGTACGTAGACAACAAGGCCATGCTGGCCTTGTGTCAAGAGCAAAGACTGGAGCACAGAACAAAGCACATTGCTCTCCGCTACTTCCTTGCTCGTGAGCTACAGCAGCGTGGTCAGTTGCGGCTTGCGTACGTGGCCTCTGAGGCCAACACTGCTGATGTCTTCACCAAGGCACTTGCGCCTTGTGATCATCAGCGCTTCTGCACCCAGCTGGGTCTTGTACCTGTCTTGCCTCACTTGCTCACCTCTTGACCTTGCTTGTACTACTACATATATATATATACCTGCTCTTGCTTGTGTAGCCTTATATATATATGTACTCCTGCATGTTAACTGGCCTTGTGGCCTTGAACTTGTGCTCGGAATGTGTGGTGACTTTGTGATCCACCCTGAGCTTGCTTTGCTTTGCTTTACTTGACTGGTCTTGTGACCCCTCGTTCTCCCCCACTTCGCCTATGGGGGTGTGTCAAACATTGTATATGTTGTGCTTGTTTAGGCTACACTGGGTTAGCCTATAGGGGGTACACAATTCTAGGGTTAGGTATTTGTACTGATTTCACTGTTAGTTCAATCATTCCTGTTCGTTCATTTCAACATATCGCGATGTTTCTGCTAGCGCTTAAGTGTGAGAATGGAACAGTTGAATTTTGTGGCGGTCAAGCCGAAATATTTTGACATTTGGTATACAAATTCCCTTAGATAGCTGCGAGGGCACGATACACGGTACCTAGGCCCTCTTGAACTTCAGCTAGAGCAGAAGCATGTCTTCCGTTCCCCAAGCACGGCTACGACCGTTTTTTGTTGTATATGTTTTTAATGCGGTGTTTTTTTTCAATTATTTATATATACATATATAAAACAGAAGGTGAGCGACTGAACCTCCATGAGATTGAACCAGCAAAGATAATGAAAGTGTACCTCTGGAACGACCACTGGGTCTCGTGGTCGGTCGGCCCAGGAAGCGTCTGAGTGCCAAGTGAGCACAACTCGACCCTTTCCTCCAAGTACAAGCCCCATGCTTGATGTACTGCACAAGTAACGGAGTACCCTTTGTGCAGCCCAGAGGTGTTTACGGCGGTGCTTCCCGGGCCCAACCAAGCGCGACAGGATGCTAAGAGGTTACGCGAGGTCAGGTTGAGTGCAAGTCATCAGATACATGAGGCAACCCACAAGCTCTAGATACGGACCACTCGACTCTACGGACTCGTCCGAAGGTGGAGCTGAGAGCGAGTGGCTTGTAGGAAGAGGATTGGGCTGTGGCGAGGAGAACCAAAAGCAGAAGCACTAAAAACATTGCACCATGTGAGACTAAGTTAGAATGATGGTGCGCGCTGCTCCGTCCCGGGTGATATGCGGGCCAAGATAGCTCTGCAGCTCACCTAGGTCAATGTAGGTGTGTCTCTTCTGTAGCTTCGCCTTCACAAGGGCCAGTGTCAAGGCCTATTTTATTAGAGTAAAATACCCTTTTTGCCCTGATGGTAGGCCGTTTTTTCCCAGTTGCCAAATCAGCCTATGGAAATTTTTTCCCTAGCGAAAAAAGGCGAAGGTTTTGAGTACATTGATAACGACTTTGGTTGCCCTGCGGATATCAGGGTGCGCTGCACATTACACTAATACCAAATCCTCTGTAGAGAGGATTTTGTTGCGAAGCCGCAAAATATCTATATGGTCCCCGGAATTCGAACTCGCGATCTTTCGACACCTATCAGAAAATCTAACAAACTGAAACATACCCCGTTGCCACTACAATGCAGTCAATGTTTATGCAAAGTTATGAAAATATTTACACTACAAAGAGTGTAACAATTTTTTTCTCCTGACACAAATGGTGTATCTGAAATTTTAGGCTGCTGCCATCAGTGTACGGAAAATATTACCCCAAGGGTCAGGGTACTGGGGGCCTGGAACCCTGATTTGCAAGAGTGGCCCAAAACCAATTTTGGGCCCTGGCCAGTGCCTCGGTGTCAGCAGTAGCAAAGAACAAAGTCATTGACGTTCACGAGGATGTATAACGGTGGCAGAGGAGGGTGTATGCACAGAAACAACGACGGGCCAGCAGTCGAAGCAGCAAACCCAAGTGCTGCAAGTGTCGTGCTCAGTGTGTCGTGCCACTTGCAAAGCGTCTGGTGGAGACCGTAGACTGGCCGCCAGAGGCTCCACTAGGTACCCTAAAAAAACGGCTCAGTGAAGCCAGGTGGACGGTGCAGCCATATCTCCTTGTGAAGGCTGCCCTGCAAGAAAACTGTGGAGAAAACTCATAGTCACGCTGTGGTGCAAGGTGCAGTAACACCTGAGCAGTGGTCATCTTTAGGGTAGGGGAGAAGGTATGGAAGAAATTGACCCCCTGCATCTGACTGAAGACTCGTGCAACGTAATGCGCCTTGAAGACAGGCGTAGAGCCCGGCGGTCGTTTCACTCTGAAAATCCACATGCTATCGACTATGTTCGCCTAGAAGGGGAAACTGCGTCAACGAGGGTACCTGTAGACTTCCAGGATGCCATCTCTGTGTCCATGGCTATTTCCCACTGAGAGGAGTACGGACCTGAATTTGCCTTTGCGTAAGAGCCGCGGGGTCGGGATGTTCAGTGCATCCGGTTCTCCCTCTGGGGCAAGTAGCATGGCAGCGAGATGAGCTATAGCAGCCGCAAGGCACTCCAGCTTAAACTATCCGTATTCAAGGACATCACTACCAAAGGCAAGCTCACCCTCGTTGGACGGAGGACAGTCAGACTCAGAAACAAGCCTCGCGAAGTAGTCTAGACGACAGGCAGCAGCAAAGGTAACTAGCTAGGGTCAGTGATAAGTATGGCCAGAACATGCGTGATAGTAGGACTAGTAGCACGAGCAAGGTCAAATTCAGGGAGAGGACGTCAGGAAGAGAGGACGCTAGAGGAGATGGCAATAAAGAACATTGTGCAATATATTAAGGATGAAGGGTCATGGTGTGCGTGCCGGGGACAGGTGGAGGACGAACACGGGAAGCACAACGAGTACGAACAAGTGTGGCAGGATGAGACGTAGGCTCTGAACGCTCAGTCAGGGAGTTTGTCGACTCAGTGTAAGGAGAAGGAGCAGGCAGTGGGGAGCTAGGTTGTAACTGTGGCTGTGACGGGTCAAGAGGTGGACATAGTAGAGGAGGAGTAACATCAGTGGAAGACCGAAGACTGAGAACCTGGCGAAGTGCTGAGGGTGGTGGCAATGACGACTACGGCTGGTCCAAGAAGAACGGTTGCCGCTGCACAGCACCCCTAGCTCCAGTACCTCCAACGCCAGAACCTCCAGAACTGCCAGCTCCAGCACCTCCAGCTCTAGTACCTCTAGCTTCAGAACCTCCGGCACCGCCAGCTCCAGCACCTCCAGCTTGAGCACCTCCAGCACCAGAACCTCCAGCGCCTCCAGCAACAGTACTTCCAGCATCAGAACCTCCAACTCTAGTACCTCTAGCTCTAGAGACTCCAACGCCTCCAGCTCCAGCATCAGCACCCCCAGACTCAGCACCTCTAGTGTCAGCACCCCCAGAGTTAGTACCCCCAGGTTCGGCACCCCTAGAACCAGCATCTCCAGGCTCAACACCGCGCTGGACCACCCACTCCAGAGCTGCTGCGGCGAGAGAGTCACCTGCGGACGCAATTGCTAGCGTTGTCCACCCGCAGCTCCAGTACCTCCAGCTCTAGCACCTCCAGCACCAGAACCCCCAGTACCTCCAGTGAGAGCACCTCCAGCACCGCCAGCTCTAGCACCTCTAGAACCAGTACCCCCAGCGCCAGCACCCCCAATCACAGCACCCCAAGAGCTTGCACCTCTAGCGTCACCACCTTCAGATGCACCAGAGTCCACAACAACAGGCTGCAGAGGCGGCGAAGGTGGCTAAGGAGAAAAACCAAGAGGGGTCTCCAAGTGCGGGGAGTGGCGAGAGGCCGCAGTGTTGTCAGTAGCAAGGTCACCCCCGCTCAGCTGGGTCGGTGGAGTCTGAGGAGACCTCCAAAGGCACAACCCAGGGGGGAGGTGATACCTGAGACACACCTAAGCAAGCAGGACGCCGGGGGGGGGGGGAGGGGGCTGGGGTCTATTGGGGGGTAACCTGGAACCAAGAAGTGAGGTGGCGGGGAGACAAGAGAAGACTCGACGGTAGTAGCAAACCGGCTTGTCACAGGTGATGTCGCAGAAGGACAGGACGCGACGCGTGGTTGGGTGGTAGAACTGCCAAGGCGGGACGCCGATGGGAAAGCCAAGCAAGACGCAGCGAATAGTGCGAGGAGAGAGCTTGCCCGCGGTGGTATCACGGACAAGGGCAAGCAAACCCAAGACCCAAAACGCCTATGCATCGCCAACCTCCCCCGTCCAACACATTGTTTCTGGAATGGAGACACCGGGCCAGAGGTTGAGCTGATGCGTGGTGTATCAGACCAAAATGACCACAGAAATGGGCAGCAGCTGCATGGATCATGGAGGTGCGAGCAACCTCCATGATCAAGCCAATGCGGTGCTCGGCGATCTCATTATGCTGGGGCGAAACCACAAACGCAAACGACTAGCTGATGACCTCCGCACGACAAAAGTTCTCAAGCAGACCGGAGGAAAAATCACCTCGACGGTCAGAGTGCACACGGAGCACCAGGAGGTCCTGACGGAATCGTGCATTCAACTAGCAGCAAACAATGTGGATCCAAGGGATCAATAAAAGACGAACGCCTCCCTTGTGCTGCAAGGGAAACATCATGGCGTAGCGCGTGTAGTCGTCGACGACAAGCAGGAAATAGCGTTCCCGGCCCGGCCCAGGATTGGGGACGGGGCCTTCATCCATGTGCAAGGTCTGCAGAGGAGCAGTGGTTGGAGGGAAGGAGGAGGAGTGAGGAGCGATGTGCTGTCGCCCCTCGACGCAGGGAGAGCACGGCGACGCAAACAACGGTGAGAGTGCAGGAAGGGACCTCGGAAGGCCTGAGACAAGGAAACGCGAGTGCATGCGATGCGAACGCTGGAGGGAGGGGTGATCAAGACTATGGTGCCAGAGGAGGGATGGGTGCGTGAGTAACTAGCACGAGCAAGACGCAGGTTACTGGCTAAATGCAACTAGCTGTGTGGACTTAGTGCAGTCTGTACAATCCCGGCCCTGACCTCCGGATGAACGTGGCAAGGTGGTCGCTAGTCACCGAGTCCGTACCGATCGCCACAAGCTCGCCCCCAAGAGTAGTGGTAGTGACCAAATGATCCTGGTGGACAGCCTGACTCACCAAGTTCATAGCGAGGGGGGTGGAAATCTGTGAGGGGGCTAGAGGGGGCTGCTAGACACGGGAGAACAGTGGTGCCGCGTGCAATGACCGGGCTAGTTGAGGGGTCGGCCAAAGTGATAGGGACAGGTGTTGCGAGAGGTGTGATCGCAGTGTAGTCGTCAAAGAATCAGCGAGACGCGCCGGAGTCCAACGTAAAGGTGTGCAAAGCCTTCGCAACAACTGCAGCTGTGCTACCCGTCTCATAAGCATGTACACTAGTAGTCTCCACACCAGCAGCCTTGCCACACACGAGTAATAGTCACCCTCGACACTAGCAGAAACAACATACATATCATATATGCCATACAAGGTCTGGTCAAAATCAAGAGCAAAGACATCTATGTTTTTCTTGAGCAGTGCTAGCCAGTCAGGAGTCTTCAGCTGTTCACCAAACTCCTCGTGAAACGCGTCGTCGAGGCGGAAGAAGCAGCGAGCCTCGACGTGTCCCGATCGGCCACACACCTCTCCTGGACGACCAGTGCGGCGCCGGTATTGGCAGGGGCCACCAGAGCTTCCATGCTATGCAACCCTAGAACCTTGCCAAAGCGACCAGCAACCTTGCCAAAGCGAGCGCTGCTGCTGTCCACCCCTAGAACCTCCACTTCCACCCGCTGCACAACCAGACGTAGCTGTACGGTTAGCCGAACTTGAGCCTCCACCCCAACTGCCACCCCCACCCCTTCCACCACCCCCACCAACCCCACTACCTCCACCACCCCCGCCACCTCCACCACCGCCGTCACCTCCTCCACCCCCACCACCACCACTGCCACTACCCTCGCCACCAACCCCACCACCGCCACCCCCAGCACTCCCACCGCCCCCACCCTTACCACGCCCACCCTTGCCGCCACGGCGCCTCCCACCAGGAGCACTCGCAGCACCGACCTCCTCCTCAGTGCGAAGGAAGTGAACATCAGCAGCAGAAGCAACAGAGGGCATAAGAAGGGAGGGAGAACACCCCTTAAAGAAAGAGGGGAGGGGAGTGCCACGGGAGACAGCGATAGCGTGGGCATTGGTCTCAGCCTCTAGGAGACGGGTTTCAAACGAGGCAAGGGTGAGCTCATTGGGGTTTATGGAGAGAAAGTGGTCTCAAACGGCGTGAAGAGAGTCTGGGAGGCGAGTCGTAAGGAAGTAAAGAGTGATGTACATTGGGGGCGGGTTCTGCGGAGATAACTACTACAACGGGAGCTAGACTACGGGCTAGGCACGGGTGCTCGTGTGATCTCTGCGTTTGTTGGTCCTTAGTCGTTTCCTAGTGCACACACTGCTTGCTAGTTCATGGGGCAATTTGGCAAGAGTTTCACTAGAGAAAGGTGACAACAATGGTACAATCAGGTTGGCAAGACAAGACTGCATCAGAGCTAGCATTCAAGTCGGTCGCCTGCCAACGCAGCATGGTCGACAGCGTTCCAGCACGACTTGGTCGACCGCGCTCCAGCAGTGCAAAGTCGGCGGCGTGCCAACGTTGCAGGTTGACGGCGTGCCAGCGTTGCTCCCGCAGAGCAGCAGCGCACCTACTTCGCAGGTGCTCGTAGATAATTGGCGGGCTAAGCCTCGTCACCTGAACAGCGCACGCACCAAGTCATCCTCGTGCTGACGGCTCCACCTGATCCGCCACGTCGACCTCGGGATACCATCACCTAGGTCGGACTCGCCAACTTCGCCCGGTCGACCGGGCAACCATGTCGACCAGCTGCTTCTGTATGTGTTCGTCGACCTCCCAAGTCGACGACCACCCCAAGTCGACCTCACCAGGTCGACTACACCTCTGGTCGACCAGCTCCAGGTCGACGTCACTCCTGGTCGACCAGCTCCACGTAGACCAGCGCAGTTTTCAATCGACCACCCAAGTTGGCTACCCAAAGTCGGCGTCACCAAGTCGACGCCCCTTCTACGTCGGCGCCGACTTCCAGACCGACCTCTTGAAGTCTGCGACCTCCCAAATCAGCGATCTTGCAAGTCGGCGACCTTGCAAGTCGGTGACCTTGCAAGTCGGTGCCGACTTCCAGGTCAACGTGCCACATCGCCGACCACCAATTGAAGTCGGCTGTCGGCTTCCCAAGTTGGCGGCATTGCAGTGGCCCCGTGCAAGTCGACCAACCCCGTCGACCAGCTCGCCCAGGTCAGCGTCGCCCACTGCTGCAAGTCGGCTGTACCTCCCGTACACCCAACCACGAACTCGGCTCCGCCCAAGCAAGGACAGGGCCAACAACAACTCCCGTTGACACTCCCCTGTCGCGTTCACGCTTGGGCCCCCAGCCCACACGGCATCACTGCTCAGAAAATAGCTCGTCGGCGTGCACCCAACACACAGCACGCCAGTCACCGCACCAGCCATGAAGGAGGGCATGGCACCTACTGCTGCACGTCGTTGTCCTCGTCGCCCACGTCGACCAAGCGCACCTGGCCAATGGCAACGGAGCACTGGTTGAAGGCCGGATAGTGCAGCGCCTTCGTCAGAAAGTCGGCCGGCTGGTCAGCGGTCGGGATGTACTTCAGTGAAAACTTCCCACGCTTCACCATGTGCTACAGCCAGGCCTGACGCCACTCCATGTGCTTGAGGTTGCCCATCAACCCCATGCCCTCGGCGACCGTGATGGCCGACTTGTTGTCCACCCGGAGGACGGTCGGCTTCCCGACATCCAGCTGCCGGAACTCGGCGAGGAGGAAGCGAAGTCGGCGTCCCTCCTTCCCGGCTTCCGTGGCCGCCACATACTCCGACTCGGTCGACGACAACGTCGTGCACTTCATGCGCTGGCTCGACCAGGAGACAGCAGCCCCTCCGTAGACAAACACGTAGCCGCCCGTGCTCGTTCTATTTTGCTTGTCACTGGCGTCGTTGGCGTCCACGTAGCCAGCCAGCTCCAGCGACTCAGGTCCACCGCCGAACTCCAAAGCGGTGTCACGCGTGTTGGCGAGGTAAGCGAGGCAGCGGTCGACCTCGCGCCAGTGCTGGTCGCTCCTCACTGTGAGGCCACTCCCCAGCTTGCTGCAGGCAAAGGCGATGTCCGGCCTCATCGTCGTCGCCGCGAACTGCAGCGAGCCGACCTTCTGCCGGTACTCCTCCTCCTGTCGCTCTTGTGCCTCATCGTCGTCGAGGGTGAGCTCGGCGTAGGCGTCGACCGAGACCGGCATCTTCGGGGTACGCCCGGTCTGCTCCTCGTCAATGAAGCGCCTACGCAGCTTGTCGGCGTAGCCCTGCTGGTGCAGCCACAGCTTCCCCGCCGACCTATCGCGGACGTGTTAGAGACTAAGGACGGAGTCTATGAAGATTAGGTGCCCAAATTTCTCAAAATCGTTGGTCTCAATTTCTGGACAGAAACGTCGACTTCACAAGAAACGATGTCAGCGAAAGGTGCACCGTTAGAATCCCACAAAATTCGAATCTGTTGTAGCCCTAGACCGTGGGTACATTTCCCAATTTGAATCGTATCAAACTATGAAGCATATCTTGAGTAATGTTTTTCGGCGCACTAGGGGGTATGCTGCCACAGAAATTTAACTCAATCACAATTAACTCACAAGTCCCACAAAAGAACATTAGAGTAGCACTATACCTGGTAGGAGGGGAAGAGGAGGACGAGAGGGAAGGTCCCAAGAGAGAGTCCCCAACCAAGGAAACCCCATGCCACACAATTCCCTTCCCCATAGGCAACAAACTTTGACCTTTGTCACTTTCCAACCCATGCCATCCACCTCACCACAACTTGATCACACTTACCAACCTGGTTTGGTTTCACTCAACCTCTTTGCAACATCTACAGTGATGGGTTCGAATTTCCCAACCCCCACAAGTCTGTACCCCATATTGAGTCAATGCCACAACTTCCCAAAGTAGCTGCAACCAAAATATATAAGCATACGAACTCCAATGTTCGTAACTTTCTTGGTTGTGCTCCGATCGCGACGATTCTTGGTTCGTCGGAAAGCTCTTGAGTAGAGGAATCACTTCAGATATCTGCTCAAGCCAAATAACATACACACATACACACACACACACAGAGAAAATCCAAACCACACAAGACACAAATTTCTTGCACACGCTCACACCACGCATGCAAGGCACAAACACATGATGGGAGGCAAACAGACGTGAATGCATATGGTTGCATCACACAACAAACTCCCCCTCTGGCTGCCAACCATCATCTCACATGCCATAACTCAAGCATGCACACTCAATGCACACTCATTCCCGCAAGCTTCATGCCCTTCCAATGCTCAGGTTCTGCCAGGCGCTTGGTGAGAAAATCAGCCGCCTGCTGCTGGGTCTTCACTATCTCCAGCCGCACCTCCTTGTCCAGGAGCCTCCTTGTCCAATGCCACTTTGGCCTGATGTGCTTTATCAAGCCATGAAGATAGGCATTCTTTGCAAGCTTCACTGCTGACTCATTGTCACAGAAAATCACAGTCGGCTCCCTCTGACACACTCCGATTTCCTCCAACAAACGCCTTAGCCACACCACCTCCTTTGCCCCATGATGCAGGGTCATGTACTCTGTCTCACACGAGGACAACCCCACCTCGTTCTGCTTCTTGCTGCGCCAGCTCACTGCACCACCTCCAAAGAGGCACACATAGCCTCCAATGCTGGTGCCATCCATCTTCACTGAGTTGAAGCTAGCGTCGGTGTAGCAAGTCAAGCGTTTCTCCCCCTTGCTCAAATCAGCTGCACCCCTCTGTAGCCTCTATCGCACAGCACTGTACTCCAAGCCCACTGATGCTGTAGCGCTCACATAGCGGACCAACCTCTTGGCCGCTTCCAGCTGCTCATGACTTGGGCATGAAACCACACTCGCAAGCCTGGACGTAGCAAAGGCAATGTCAGGCCGCGTATGGTTAGCCGCATAGTTGAGTGCCCCCACCATGGAGTGAAACAACTTCCTGTCACTCTCCCCCACCACCTCCTCATCAGCACAGGGCTCCACAGTGAACCCCGAAGGAAGCGGGGTGGCTGGCTTTCCTGCATCTTGCAGCCCATACTTCTCAGTCGTTGAAGTAATCCGGCTGGGACATGTACAGCACCCGATCGAGCTTGCTCTGTAGGAAGGCGTTCTTCTTGTCAAGCTGCATCAGGTTGAGGTTGAGGACGGCGACGATACTGAGGAAGATCCTCAGCATGACGTAGCTGCTCACCGGCGCGAACGTCTCGTCGTAGTCGGCGCCATACACCTGAGTGAAGCCCTTCACGACCAGCCTCGCCTTCTCGCGCTCGACGGTGTCGTCGACGTGGTACTTCATCGTCAACACCCACCGGTTCTTCATGCGTTCATTCCCGGTAGGCGTTCGACCAGCTCTCAAGTGCCCATGTTGATGAGGCTGCAGATCTCCTCCTCCATGGCGGCCTTCACCGCCGGGCCCTTCCAGCTCGCCAACGCCTCCTTCACCGTCATGGTCGAGATGTCCCAATGGTGCTCGGGGTCGGCCAGCATGTACGGGTCGAGCTCCGGAAACTCCTCATCCTCCTCGGCGTCGTCGTACAGCAGGTCGTCGTCATCGTCCACGTCGTACATTGTGGTGAAGGCAGCGGGGACGAAGAAGTCCGGCGGCATCCGAACTCTGTCCGACTTCCGGGGTTCCTGCCAAACCTCCACCACGTAACTCTTGGTGGACTCCCCGGCGTCAACGTCTTCACGGCCCTCGTCGTCCTGCTGCACCTCAGTCGACTTCCTGGTCGACCGCTCCCCTGTGGTCAGCTTCCCTGCCGACTGCCTGGTTGCCGACTGCTCCGTGGTCGGCTTCACTGCTGCTTGCTCCCCTGTCGGCTGCTGCTCCTCGACCTGCTCCTCCACTATCGACGTCGACTTCAATCCCACGTCGACCTGCCCCTCGTCACATCGGCCACCGGCGATGCCCTTGGTCGGCGCCGACGCCAACATCCCACTACTCCCCTCATTGCTGAAGGCCGACACCGAGGTCAGCCCGCGCAGGCCGGCTAGGAGGGGAGGGGCAGGAGAGGGAGGGGAAGGAGGACGGACGTCCTCGTCGTCCCCAGCAGCAAGCCCACCGACCT